TGCCCGCCAAAGACCAGGACGTCCAGGTGAGTCCCGGGGCTGGCCCTGCCTGCTCCCTGCTCGCCATTCCCGGAAGGGATGCTCAGCTCCCGGGGGAATGCGGCTGTGGAAATGGAATGCCAGGGTGTGCCTGGAATTCCTGCTTCATTTGCCTAGAAAATGTGCACAGACAATGGTGTGAGGGTACAACAATCAAACATCCTACTAGGATCAGTGCCTTAGAATTCCTAGGTTTATTTTATTTGTTCCTTGTTGTCATTGAGGATGAGGACAAAGGACAGTTATAAAATCATAGAATCCCGCACTGGTTTGGGTTGGAAGAAACCTTAAAAACTACTCTGTTTCAACCCTCTACTATAGGCAGGGACACATCCCACTATGCCAGGTGGCTCCAAGTTCCATCCAGCCTGGCTTTGGACAGTTGCAGGGGCAGCCACAGCTTCTCTGGGCAGCATGTGCACCTCACCACCCTTGCAAGGAAAATTGCTTCCCAATATCCTCTGGCTGTGAGAAGCCAATCCCTCTTGTCCTACCGCTCCAGGCTCTTGTCCCGAGTCCCTCTCCAGCTGTCCTGGAGCCCCTTTAGGCACTGGAAGGGGCTGTAAGTTCTCCCTGGTGTCTGAGCACCTCAGCTGTCTCAGCCTGTTCTGTTTCTCACCCAGAGTGAATCTCTGGAGATTTGCTGAGGACAGAACTCTGTGCCTGTTGTCACTTGGGTACCGGGGCTGGCTGAGGAGGCAGTGGGCAGGTTTGGGCTGATATGGTGCCATGGGCTCAGTTTTCAGGGTAGCACCAATGGCTGAACCCCAGGGGCACAGGCAGAGCTGCTGGGGCTGCTCTCGGGGCTGGGGCAGGGCTGATTCTCTCGGGGCTGGGGCTGCTCCCGGGGCTGGGGCTGCCCCCGGGGCTGGGGCAGGGCTGATGCCCTCGGGGCTGGGGCAGGGCTGATGGTCCTGGGGCTGGGGCTGCCCCCGGGGCTGGGGCAGGGCTGATGCCCCCGGGGCTGGGGCAGGGCTGATGTCCCGCCGTGTCCTTGCCTGGCAGAGCGCGGCCAGCGCGGCGCGGGAGCTGGTGGTGCAGAGGCTGCTCCTGGTGGGCAAGGCCTGCGAGAACGAGGAGCAGCAGCTGCTGGAGAGGGTGCACGCCGAGGAGGAGAGGGCACACCAGAGCATCCTCACCCAGCAGGTGCACTGGACAGAGGCTCTGCACAAGCTGGGTGCCCTCCGCACCTACCTGGTGGACATGATCACCAGCCTGGATGACCAGGGCCTGCTGGTGAGTGCTGTGAGTCAGGCAGCCCAGAGCTGACCTGCACGTTGTGTTCTGGGACTTGAATGCAGAGTTCAGCAGCTGCTGTGCTGCCAGCAGGGAGGCAGAGGTGGGCAGGACATCAAGAATTCACAGAATTCACAGGTGAAGGATCACACAGAGAAATCACACAAAGAATCACTGGGTTGGAAGAGACCTTCAAGATCATCGAGTCCAACCCATGCCCTAACACCTCAACTAAACCCTGGCACCCAGTGCCACATCCAGGCTTTGTTAAACACAACCAGGGATGGTGACTCCACCACGTCCCCAGGCAGGCAATTTGCAGACATTTTTCAGGTCTGGCTCATGAAACCTCCTTGACCTGATCCTGATAAGCCCCTGTGGTTTCTGGTGGTTCCTAGAGCATCTGCTCTGGCTGATTCTGCTCTTGCCTGCAGTAAGGTCCAGAACCACCCATGTTCAGGTCTCCAAATTCTGGGCTTGTAGTTGCCCTTAGGCTGGACAGCCAGGACAGCTCTGGGTTCTGAGCTGCTCTTACAACAGTTGTGCCATCAGTGTTCTAGTGTCTGGTTTAATCAAAACTGACCCTTGGGAACACCTGCAGCTCTTCTGGAAAGTCCCCTGTGTTGCCTGGCTTAGCCCTGTTAGGGATATTTGCTGTGCAAAGCAGCCTGTGCTTCCCCTTGCTCAGTTCCTTCTCTGGTTATTGAATCATCTGGGTTCATCCAAGTGATTCCTCTCATTTTAGATGTGAGCAGGACCTCTGCCTTGCCACCACCATGCTCAGCCTCTGCTTCCCACGTGTAAATTTGTCAGGAGAGGAGCAGCAGTTTGGCTTGGAAAACAGAGCCAATCCCATGGAAAGAGGGCAGATGCTCCTTTGGTGGGAAAGGCAGTTCCTATCTTGTAGCTGCACCATAAAGTGCAGAGGTTGCAGACCTGGATCCATCACTGCCTGTGGCAGAGAGCAGCCACACCCTCAGTTTCTCCTTTGGAAGGGAATTAGGGGTTCATGTGTTCTCCACCCTGGGCTGACAGTGTTGGTACTTGTGCCTATCTGGAACCAACACATGGCATGCCATAGGAGAGCTGAAGGCATGCAGAGTGCACTGCTTGGGTTTGAGCAGGGATCAGGTATTTCCTTATCACTTTGCTGTACCTTGAGAGTGCCTCATGCCCAGCAGGTACAGAAACAAGTGGGACTGACCATGAGGTCACCTGGCTCTTGGCTTTGTCCCTCTGCAGCCTCCCTCCTTTGCTGGAAGCCCTGGGGTTGCTTGCTGGGAGCACAGGCTGTTCCTGCAGCCTGCCCTGGTGGGGTGGGGACAGAGAGGGAACAGCAGGCAGTGTCCCAGCCACACGTGCAATGTGTTCCCTTCAGCCATTCCCACTCATTTTCAGAGTTGAGAATGCTGCAGGTGAAGAAAATGGATGTTGGATGCTCCTGCTGCTGCCCAGGGCTGGGATTGGGGTGAGGGGTGGCTTCTCTGGGTCAGGAAGGGGAACACTGCTCCCCAGGTCCTGGATTTGCTGTGTTTGGGGTGTCTTCTGTGGGGGTTTAAGTTCTGATGACTCTTTCTCTCCTTGTCCCCAGCGTGCAGAACAAGAGATCTTCGAGAGGTCAGTACCTGGCTGCTCCTGCTCCTTTCCCTGACCCCGCTCCAAGCTTTCCCTGACCCTGCTCCACACCTGCATCCCCACAGCTCCTGTGCTGTGTGCCCTGACTCAGGCACCCCATGGCACCTCCTTTGTCCCTGTGCTGCTTTTGCTGTGGATAAAAGCACAGAGATGTCAGTGTGGCCTCTTGTCTCTGCTCCTTGTGCTGTGCTGCACCTGGGGATGCTCCATGTGCTTTCAGCAGCCCTTGCTTATGGGAGAACTTCTGCAGCTCCTCAGAAAACCCCAGGGCCTGCTGGGGGATGGAGCAGGGCTGTGCCAGGCTGTTGGCAGCAGCTGGGATGGTCTGTGCTCCATGTGGGTGCTGGCACAGCATCTGCCCAGCTCTGCATGGGCAGGGAGAGCCAGCTGCAGGTCCCAGTGTCCCCAACAGCCCTATCAGTGACACTGGGCTGCCCTGAGGAAGCACCTTGGTGGCTGCGTTTTTATTTAATCTATTTCATTTTATTTGAGCCATTTATTTCTGTGGCTGCTGTGAGTGTACTGCCCAGAGGACCTGCTGGGGGTATTTGTGCCTGTGGAGAATATGGAATGTGCCCCAGCACATCCCCAGCAGCTGTGTCCTCACAACCAGGAGTTCTGCAGGCCACAGGAGCCAGCAGAGCCCTGGCTCTGTGCTGGGTGAAACCTGCTGTCCTGGCTTGCTCTGTGCCCAGACTGTGGGGCTGTGGCAATGGAGGGAAATCTGATTCTCTGCCTGTTCATTGTGCTCCCCTGTACCCTGATGGCTGCTCTCAGACACATTTATTTACCCTGTGTCTGCTGAGTGAGGAGCTGTTGGCTCAGGCTGCTGGGATGTGTTTTACAACACTGCAGCCCTTTCACCAGGAACAGTGGGCAGAGCCAACCCAAAGTATCACTGGGGGTGAGAGCTGGCCCAGACAGCCCTGCTGTGGTCTCTGCAGCCAGAGCTCCTCTTTCACCTCTGCCATACCTCCTTGTAATCTTTTACACACCTCCCAGCACAATAAATCATTGTATTTTGAAACAGCTCCTCTTTTCCTTTGCTAGGACGGAGGTGGCAGAGGGAATCTTGGAGCCCCAGGAGTCCCTGAAGTTAAACTTTAATCAGAGCTGTGTTCAGAGTCCACTGCTGCATCGACTGTGGGCCTGTGCTGTGCTCTGCTGCCTCACAGGTCAGTGCCTTGCTCAGATCTCTCATGCTCCAGGGATTCCTGCACCCTCTCTTGTGTTGTGCCCAGAGAAACTCCCTGGTGCTGTGTCCAAACTTCCTCACCCTGTGTCCAAACTTCCTCACACTGTGTCCAAACTTCCTCACCCTGTGTCCAAACTTCCTCACACTGTGTCCTGCCCCTCTGCTCTCCCAGCCCTTGTTTCTTGGAGCCCATTCAGGGAGGCAGCAGCAGCTGTGGGAGATGTAGGGGGTGGCTCCAAGCACTTGTGGCTCAGGGAAGAACTGGAGTTTGAAAAGATTGTGTGTACTATCAGCTCTGTGGCTTTAACATTGTGTGGTTTCTTTTGCTGTTTCCTGAGTCTCTGGGTGACAGCAGTGAAGCTGATGCTGCTGTGGGAATCTGTGGCACAGAAATCTCTGTTCACAACGTTTAGCACTGGGCTGCTGGGGACTTGGAGAGGGTGATTTCATCTGTGGGGTGTCAGTGATGCTGCCCAGTGCAGGGGCAGTGAGCAGATGGAGCAGTGTTCTGATCACAGGCTGAGGTTGTGGCTGTGCACGAGCTGCTGGTTCTGGAGGTGTTTGTGCTCTGGCTCAGCCCCTGTGTGCAGCTGAGGCTGCACTGGAGGCATTGGCCAGGCCACTGACAGGCTCTGGGGCTGGTTTACCTGGTTGGTGCTGGCTGTGGTAAGCAGGGAAAGACATTTTTCCTCTGGCTGTGATGTGCTTGAATGGCTGGTTGTGAAATGTTTGCTTTTACTCTGGTTTCAGTCTGTTACAGTATTTCCAATGCATTTTTTGTTTCTCAGAGATGGCAATATCCTTCATAATGTGCCTTGTGAACAATCCCTAGTGGGTTTTTCCAAAGCTGCTGTAAAACTTCTGATTTCTGCTCATCTTGCTGTGATTCTGATGAGCTGTTTTCAGTTTCCTTGTTTCCAGGCCCATCTCCAAAGTTTGCATTTCAGGCTTTTATTGCTCTTGTGGTTTTAAGTATTAGCTTGAGAGCCTGTGCCTATCAAGCACTACCATCATCTTGTTTATCTGCTCCAAACTCTGGTGTTCTCCCTTTGTGAATAATTTCCCTCTTTGGGATCTGTGAGTTCTGGCAGTTGAGGAAAGTGTCCCTGCAGAGGGTTGGGACTTGGTGATCTTTAGGGTCCCTTCCAGCCAAAATCACTCTTCAAACAGGAAGCCTTTTCCTAATTTCCTTTGCTGGTACAGAATTTTTGTCAGGATTCCTCTCCCAATCCTTGTGAAATGTAATGACTTTAGGGCATTTGATTCTTGTGGTGGGTGTGCTGATGCACTTATTACACAGGAATTTCATTCTCTTTGGGTTTTTTTGAGTGTGTGGTTACATTTCACATGTCATTACTGCATGCTGAGGATGCCTGGTGTATCCTTGTGGATCTCATCAGTCCCCAGGCCACCCTGGACCAAGTTTTAGAGATTTAATATTAACAGCAGTGGTCTGAGCTTGCCTTTAGACACAGTAATGTGAAGTGTCACTCTGTGCCTTCTCCCAAAAGCAGGTGAGCAGGTGGCTGTCTTGTTTATTTGCTTGAAAACAGAAAATTCCAGGCCTTGATGGCTCACTCCATAACCTCTAAAATACTTGGAAAGCAGCTGCAAAAGGGCCTCTATGTCATCTCAAAAATAAACATCATTCCTTTGATGCCTTCACCTGGCATCCAGCCTTCTGCATCACTTCTGTTTGGGGTTGGCAGCTTCCTCCTTGCACCACAGGGTGATGTAAATCTCCTGGCACTGTTTTGGGAGGGATCTCAGTTCATGGGAACTTGGATTTTTAACAGCAGCCAGATGTGCTGCAGCTCACACAAATGTGCTTCCCAGAGCTGCTAACCATGGGAATTTATTGTCCCAGTGTTCCTCATGTCCTGATGGATACAGGACACAGACAAAATAGACTTGGGGGCGAGATAAATTCCCAGTGGAATCATTCATCAGAATTATATGTGAAAATCCAGATTAAATCATGACAGAAGACTTGTGTGAGGGGCAAAATTTGCTGATCTGAATTCCTGTGCTGTTACTTTGCCAGCACATCCCCTCCCTGAGATGCTGCCCTGGAACTGCATTTCCACAGCAGAGCAGGGTGGGTGTCACTGGGGTGGTGTTTCCCCACATGGACCACCAGGATGCAGCCCCAGGTCAGCTGTGTGTGACACCACAGCAGGTTTAGTGCCCTCCTTCTGCCACAGGAACACAAAGTCTGGTGCTGCTGTGTTTTCTATGAATTCAGAGCAGCTCTGGCTTCCTGGAAAGCTGCCCTGCACAGCAGCAGCAGCAGCGTGGGCAGCCCAGAGCCCTGTGGAGAGCTCAGCTTTGGCTGCTGTGTGGGGAAATAAATCATCAGATGAATGAGGCTGGCAGCTCCTGCTGAAGGAAGTGCTGGCTTCAGCTCCTCTTTGGGCTCACTCTTGCTTGCAATAACTCCTACCCAACGTGCACAGGTGCATGGCACTGATTTGCAAAGGGATTATTCAGCCTCTGTTCATCTGCCAGGGAGCACCTGGGCAGGTGCAGCCTGAGGAAACCTATTGGAATATGAATCCCAATATAACCAGTTAGATGGTGCCTGGGCCAGTTCTGANTTGGGGGTGCTGCAGGGGGACTCACAGTCAGGTTTTGGGGTTCTGGAGGACACGGAACAGGGCTTTTGGGATGATGGGGGGAAGAAGGCAGGTTTTGGGGGTTCATGGGGGCTGTAGCAAAGCTCTGGGGTGCTGCAGGACTCAGAGCCAGGTTTTGAGTGCTGAGGGGGACATGGAGCAGGGTTTTGGGGTGCTGGAGGGCTATGCAGTCCAGTTCTAGGGTGCTGTGGGAGAACCAGGAGCCTGGTTTTAGGATTCTGGAGTGGCTGGGACAGGGCATTGGGCTGCTGTCAGGGTTTGGTTTAAGGAACATGGCTGAAAGGCTGTGGTGGTTGGAGCAGGGTTTGGGGTGCAGCAGAAGCACCTGGAGCAGGGTTTGGGGTGCAGCAGAAGCACCTGGAGCAGGGTTTGGGGTGCTGGGGGAAGCCCAGAGCCCTGCCTTGGTCCCTCAGAGCAGGGGAGATGCCAGGATCAGGTTTAGTGCAGGGATTCTGCAGCTCCCCCACCAAAGCAGCATTCCCTGGCTCGCTCCAGTGCAGAAACCCTGGACAGATCCTGGATCTTCCCCCCAGCCTGAAGCCTCTCCCTGCAGCTGACAGCTCCTTCCCCCAGCAAACATCAGTGACCTGGAGATCCCCTCCTCCTTTCCACAGTCCCTCCTCCTCTCACACAGGCCAGGCTGCAGCAGCCTTCATCCTCCCCTCATCCTCCTCCATGTCAGCTGCTCCAGAAACCACAGCATTTCCTGCTCCCATCCCACTTATGCAACCACAACCTGCTCATTTTATAACTGACCAAACTACGACACCCATTTCTGTAAAAAAAAGCTGGTTTTATTTAGATCTCATTCCCTTCCAGAATATGCACCCCAGATATGTGCTGAAGAGAAAAAAAAAGAGAGGAAAAGAGCTGGAAGGTGGGTGTTTATCAGAAATGTGGGGAACACATCATCAGCTCAGGCTTTGCACAGCCTGACTGAATGCCAGCAGAAACTAGACAGCAGAAAATCTGTGTTGGTTCAGTTCTTTTCAGAAGCTGGGCTTGTGTGTGTGTGAAAATCCAGCGAGCCAGAAGAGCAGGAGGGCAGGGTGGTTCTTGTGGGCAGCTGCCACCATTTTTCGGTGGAAAGGATCCAGGATTCCTCACAAGTGCTATTTTAAAACTGCACATCATCAAAACCTGGGGGTTTTAAATGTATCTAAAACTTCCTGAGGGAGAAAGGCATCAGAAGTAAGAGTGGGAATGGAAAAGCACAAACCTACAGCAGCACAAGGGATACCAAGAACTTCTCTCAACCCTTCCTTCCTGCAGGGGCCTTTTGTGAAACCACAAGGGCCCCTAAGTGGGCACACCCTGCCCTGCTGCCCTCCCTGAGGCACCCCTGGGATGGAATTGGCCCATCCCAACTGGGAAAAGGGGAAAAGACAACCACAATTCCCCACTCTGCTCTAGCACATCTCAGCTGGCTGCAGGTGAGACCACCAGACCCCAGTGTGACACTGAGCTGCCACACCCCCAGCATGGCACAAAGCCACCTGTTTTCAGCCCTGCTCCTCATTTTAGCCCTCCTTGTGCTCCAGATTTTGAATCATCTCCTCTTTGTCTCTCAATGCACTGTCAGTGTACAGTTTACCCCGTGTTTTTCAGATTTGGGTTAGTTTGGGTGAGTCAGTGAGTGAACTCGTGGTCCCTGTGCTGCTGCTGAGGCTGGAGGACACAGTGTCACTGTCACAGCACAGCAGGCAGAGAAGGCACAGCCAGGATGCAAGGAAACAAAGGGGAAAAAACAACTCAACTGGATCAAAAGCTTCAATGTGCAGCTCCCAAGCCTCTGGACATCGTCACCTACATTCTACACCCCAGAAGTGATCTGTGAATGGATTCAGCCCCTCATCTTCAAGACTCTCATGTTCTCCTGGCCAGTTTCTGCACTGAGCACCCACCAGTGCTTTTTTCCTCTCTTTCAGAGCCAGCCCAGCATCAAAAGCCCAGGAAGTGCCTGCCCAGAGCCTGGGGAGGGCCAAAGCCCCCCAGGCACAGGGAGGAGCCACCCTGCCATGGGAAAGCTTCAGCACAGTCCTTTATGTACAAATTCCAGCCAAAAGGGACAGGCCACAGAGGGGCAGCACAAAGCTCTAAAGGACACTCCAGGGGATGCAGCAAGGTCGGTTTACAGCCTTTACATCCCTCTGAGCACACCCCAGCCCCTGCCCACGAGCCAGCTCAGTTGTCCACCTCTTCCTCATCGTTTGGTTCTTCCTCCTCCATCCTTTCATCATCGTCATCATTGTCCTCCTCTCGGCTCTTATCTTGCTCCTCCGAGTCTGCCTTCTTGTCTTTATCTTTCCTGGCCTCTTTCTTTCCTTTCTGCTCCCGCCTGTAAACTGAGGAGAGGGAACAGTGAGGGCTTGGCACAGCACGGACAGGTCAGTGGCTGAGGTCCAACATCCACTTGCTCTCCTGGCTTTGGAGGGGAGCAGGGAACTCAGAGCACAACTCACCCTACGAGCTGAGCTGTGCTGAGCAGCTCCATAGGAAATCAGGTTAAATTTCAGCAGAAAAATGCTGAAAAGGATGCAGGAGGTCACATTTACAGGCAGCACCTACGGCTTTCCTTAGATAACATAATAGGGGAGTGAGAGCAGATGAGACTTTCTCAATCCTCATCAGTTGTGCAATAATGTTATCCCAGTCCCGTTAAGGTGCACATTAGTTACTCCCCAGGCAAACTGCAGTGTAGGATGCTGGGCAAAGAGAAGAGAAACAAGACAGGCAATAAGTGTTGCTTGTCCAGCGTTGGAAGAAAACAGGACTCAGTGCCTCAGAGTCCCTGGGCACCCATGGAGCACGGTACCTTCCAGGGATTCCTTCAGAGGGGCCACGAATCTCTGGAACTCCATCTCCTCCATGGCAGAGAGCACGTCCCCAGCATTCAGGGTTTTCCTCTTCCCCTTCATGGCAAAGTTATTTGCACTAGGCAGAACCAAAAAGAGAGGTAATTGGGAACTGTTAGCAATTCCGTCTTGACTTTAATAATCAAGTCATAAGCAACTTAAAAAAGCCATCCCCCAAACATTTAGGGTTTTTTTATCATTTACTAAAGGAGGTTTGAGACATTTTTGTTTACACTGGCTGTCTGTGCTTTCCCACAGTGTTAGTTCCTGCTTGCACAGACCTTTTCTAGGAGGTGAAGGTGAAAGCCTGAACCTTGGCTGTAACAGTTCCACATAGCCCTAGATGCACCTGACACGAGAGAAGTGACTGCCTGCAGAGATTATGCCAAACCAGCCCAAAATGTGACTGTGCCCTCTGTGGCAGCTCTTGCCCTAACACAGCTTCATGATGAAGAGCCTGACAGTGAGTGAAGTGCCCCTGCCTTTGCCAGGAAGGCTGTGCAGCCACGTTCTAAGGCTAATGGCAGTTTAGGACTCCTCTTTTTGGGACACAGCTGTGTCCAGAGCCCAGCTACCTTCCCATGGGCTGCTCTGGAGAGTCCAAACCCACTTGCTGCAGCCTGGCAGACTGGTTTACTTATATAAACAGAAAATACAGAAAACCAACACTGGGAAAGTCCCCAGGGCAGCAGAGATGAATTATCAATCAAGTGCCCCAGTGACTGCTGCACTTTACCAGGTAGTTGCATATGTCCTTACCATGATGTTGCATACAGCACAAACACACTCGCTGCTCGGGAGATCGCGCTCCGGGCTTCTTTGGAAATATTGACTCCATCAGGAAGCTGAAAAACAAATACAGCTTTTATCAGCAGCTGCTAAAAACAAACTCCAAAACTGAAGTGCCAGTGTGTTAAGGCACTCAGAGGGCTCAGAAGAACTGGGAACTGCTCTGGAGTGCTATCACAAGAGCTGTGCTCCCAGTGGAAGCCCAGGGCAGTAGAAATGTGTCCCCCAAAGGCACAGAGCTGAGCAGAAGCCCAGTGACTGGAATTTGGGGTCTGGCCACTGTCTGCAGGTAACTCATCCTGAGACTGCCCAGCTCCTGACGTACCTGCCAGGCCCAGACCCACCCAGCAACACCTCACAGCTCCAGACCAAACGAACTAAATTAACCACTGGGTTTTTATATAGACATGGACTTGTGTGCTGAAGTTTTAGGGGGCCTGGTTCGCACGGTGCCACTGCGGGAGCTNTTTTCCCAGGAGGGATCACAGGAGGCTGTGAGCCCCTCATGGCCAAGGTGGCTGGAGCTCCCCTTGCCATACACACGGTGCCTGGGGAGAGCTGGTGGCTTCGTGTCCCTGCACCTGACAGCCCCAGCCAAGCAGGGTATGGGGACAGCAACTCAGCCCTTGGGCACACAGTGGGACCAGCTCTGCCAGGCTGGTGGGCCTCATGTTTCTCTGGCTTATGGAAGGGGAACACCATTGACCATTTGCCTCCCAACCTCTTGCTCGCCCCAAGCTGTGTGGGGTGCGATCACCCAGGCTCTATGTGAGGGTATCCCACCCCACAGGCATAACCCCACAGCCCACAGTCACCCCACTGAGGGTCCCACCCCACAGCCCACAGTCACCCCTCACCCCACTGAAGGTGTCTCACCCCACACTCACCACAGCGCGCAGGGCCAGCCCGCGGGCGCCCGGGGGCAGTTGGTAACAGCGCCGGTCCCCAAAGGCCGGTTTGGACAGCGCCGCGTCCCTGCAGAGGGACAGAGGGTGAGGAACCCCTGCCTCCCACCTCCTGCAGCTCCAGAACCACGAGGACAGGCCAGGACAAGCTTTGAGCCACTGAGCCAGAGCAAGGGGCACTCCCAACGCAGCTCAGCACCCAGGGATTGCTCTGGGAGGTCCTGCAGGCCCAGGCTGGCCCTGGGAGCTGTTTCAACACCCACTGCCCCCCTCATGCCCAGAGTCTGGGTAAAATTATGCCAGGCTCTTTTCCAAGGTAGGCTCTTTTCCTTGGGATACCCGGCCAGGGTCAGGCTGTTTTGGGACAAGGTCTAACAGCTGACTCAGCTGAGGCTTGTCCCTGAAGTCACCCTGTGGGGCAGCACTGACTGCTGACTGCTGACTGCTCCTGGAAGCTGCAGGCAGCTCCCTGTGCCTGCCTTACCACCAGCACCCGAGCAGGTGAAGCGTTGGGAAGGAAGATCACCCTTCAGTGACCTTGCTGCCAGCCAGCCTCTTCTGGGCAAGTCCTTTTTGCATGGAGAAGTAGGAGTAGGGTGCAGCAAAGTGACCAGTGTGCCCCAAGTACAGCCCAGGCTCTGGGCAAGCCCTTTCCCAAATAACTGCCTGGGAATGCTCTCCCAGCCAGCCTGGGCACACCTGGATGGGGGACAGACCCACCTGAAGGGGCCGTAGAAGCACGAAGCAAACTTGGCACTGTAGCTCATCACCGAGACCTGCAGGGCAGAGAGGGGCTGTGAGGGCTGGGAGCTCAGGGCCACATCCCAGTGCTGGGACAGGAGAGATTCCCTCCCACAGCTTCACCCTCCCCCTGCCACATGTCTGGCACCTCAGCACACCTGGGCATATTCCCTCAGCCAAGGACATTCCCCTCCTGTGTGTGCCAGGGCAGGGCAGTGCCCGTGGCACCAAGGGGGGTTTGCTCCTCCTGCCCCTTGCCCTGTCCCGCTGTGCTGCAGCCTCCATGGGGGTGGTTTGTGCCTGTGGCACACACAGGCCCTGGCTCACCTTGTTGCCCAGGTCGTTGGAGATCAGTGCCTGCTTTATGGCTGCAATGCGCCCGTCCATCATGTCCGAGGGGGCCACGATGTGGCAGCCTGCAGGGACAGACAGCACAGGGCTGTTGGAGGCTCAGGTGCTGCCTCCACCCCCAGTTGGAGCCAGGCCCAGGCTGCTTTTGGGTCTGCCCAAAGCAGAGAGGGGCAGCTCTGAGAGCCAATCTGGGGTGTCACTGCCAGGGCTCCCCACCTGCTTTGGCATAAGCCAGCGCCACCTCGGCCAGGCGCTGGCAGCTGAGCTCGTTCTGGATGGTGCCATCCTCACGCAGGATGCCTGGGAGACAAACCTGGGTTACACAGTGCAGGGACAGCTCAGTCCCCAGGGCAGTGTGGCTCTGGGGACAAGCTGAGGAGGTGCTCAGAGCAGCAGTGGGGAACCTGGTGTGTTCAGGGAGGTGGATAAGGACCAGGAGCCTGCTGGGAACTGGACACAGCATGTGGGTGCTCCAGGGAAGGGAAGGCAGAGATGGGGAGCACAGAGAGATGCTCAGACTCAGGGACCTGAGGGAGGGTCTGAACCACCCATGCTGTGGTCAAAACCCAGGAGACGTTATCCAGACTCAACTACAGCAGTACGGGGAAGCCAAGTCTTGGAGCAGGAGCTGGCCAGACCCTCAGCAGAAAATGGCAAATCCCAGAGGCTCCCAGAGGCAGGAGAAGGCCCAGAGCACAGCCCAGTCTGGAGCCCCTGCTCACCACAGTGCCCATGTGAGGTGTAAGGGCACAGGCAGACGTCACAGGCAATCAGCAGCTCTGGGAAGGTGGAGTGGATCTTCCTGATGGCCTGGATGGCAGGAGTGCCCTCGGCATCAGCAGCAGAGCCTCTCTCATCCTGTGAGGACACAAACACCTCAGCATGCACAGCTGACACTTCCCACCGGCTCCTCTGGGGCAGCAGCTCTGCCCAGGAAGCATTTCCTGAACTGTGGGACCCTGTAAGGCTGGATGGTGGGACTCCACTGAGGGAAAAGGGTGATGGGCAGCTAGGGCAGCTTTTGGGGCTGTCTGCAGAGCTCTGGGGACTCTGGGTGTCACTGCAATGTCCTATCACAGCCAGAGACCCTGAACTGCTCCTGTTTGATCAGGAGACCCTCCCCACCCAGCCCCCATTGCTCTGTGACTCCCCCAGCACCCCCACACCATGCACTGACCTTGTGCACCTTGCTGGGCACCCCAAAGATGAGCACACACTTGAGGCCGTCTTCGACCAGGGGCCGCAGCATCGCCTCCAGCTTGTTCACCCCATACCTGCAGGGCAGAGGGCAGCAGCTGCCAGGCACCCAGAGCTGCCCCGTGGGCACAGCTGCCCTGGCACTGGGATGCTGCTGCCCTGGGAGCCATCCAGTGTCACCAGGCAGTGCCTGCAGCTACAGGGGAGGTGTTGCCTGAACACTGGGAGGAACAATCTGAGCCCTTATCTGGGGCTCCAGGAGCGCTATCAGCCCGGCAGGGACACTGCTCTGGAGGGATGGGCATACCCTGCCCTTGGATCCCTTATCTTGGTGGCCCTGGTGCAGCTCCAGGCCCCTTTCCCATCCCAGCTCCCCTGCCCAAAGCCCTGCTAACGTGCAGCAGATGCAGAGGGAGCTGCCAGTCCAGCGGGATCCAGTGCAGGCCCAGACCCCACATCCTTGCAGAGGTTTTCTGGCTGCTGCTGGAAACCCTTCCAGCCTCCCTGTGTGTCCAGCCCACACAGCCTGGGAGTGCTCTGGGACACAGCCAGCCCCTGGTGCTGTCCCTCGCAGCACTGACACTTTGCCAGCATTCCCTGCATGATTCCCTCCACTCCCTCAGTGGATGAACATTCCCACCTTGCCTGATGTGAGGATCTCCAAAGCAGGAACCAGAGGGTTGGGAGCCTCCCCCTGGCTCATGCTCATGGTATAAATGAACCCTCCCCAGACACAGCAGTGACTGGGGGGCTGGATTCATACCTGGCTTGTCCAGGAAGGCTGGGAATTTGCTCCACGGCATCAGGGCTGTCACTGTGAGAGGTGGATGGGACAGAGATGTGAGAAGGAAGCCTCTCCCCCGGACTTGTCCACAGGAGCTCTGCACCTATTTAGGAGCTCAGAGGGTGCAGGGATGGGCCCAGCCAGACCCCCTGAGCCAGGTCCATCCCTGTCCCAGAGCTGGGCTCACTCACGTGACAAAGATGGGGTAGATGAGGTTGGAGGCATCGAAGGTGGTGGCCGTGCACTGCCAGGAGCGCAGCACGGGGTGGAAGTAACCACTGTGGAGAACAGAGTCTGCCTGCATGGTGGGCTCTGCTGCCAGGGAGGGAGACTCTGAAACACCAAAACAAACAGAGGCCCTGGTGAGCTGCTGCTCTTGGCACACGTGAGGAGGGGCTGGATCCAGGCAGCCCTGCAGGACGGACCCTGTCCCATGCCAGGCCGTGAGCTGCAGCCCAGGCAGCTCCATCCCACCTACCCCAGGCACCCTGGGTGCTGCAGGACCCCCATCAGCAGTCACAGCCCTTCCCATTAACAGGGCTGTCAGTGACTCCTCCCCACAAACCCCCCAGTTCTGTGTGTGAAACCCCCATTTCCAGCCACTGACAACCCCCCTAGCAGAACCACCTTCACCCTCTGCAGGTTCCTCTCCCTGGGCCCCAAGAGGGTCATTCTTCATTCATTTCACTTTTCCTTAGTGCTGAGAAATTGTGGTTTTGTATGGAGAGGATACAGAGCTGCTCTGTGTGATCTTTAAGGTCCCTTCCAACCCAAACCATTCCATGATTCTTTGCAGCACCACGTATTTATGGCTGCAGTGTGAAGGTGCAGCTACAGAAGAGTAGGGGCACTGGAGGCACGGGACCATCCAGTGCTCTAAAGCTCTCACACAACTCTCACAGTTAAACAACTCCAGTGGCCACTTACTGCTGGATAAAGAAAACCATGGAGTTAGGCAAAACTGATTTCAGATGTAACAAAACTCACACATAAATCAATCATTTGCTATCTCATGGCTGAAGTGTCTTCTGTAGCAATGTTTTACTCTCCAGCAGATCTAGTAATAACTCTGTGATCAGCCCATTAAGGATTACATTTCCATGAGGGCTCAATTCCCCCCACCCTGCTGCTGGTGGATGTGATGGAAGGGCCGTGGGAAGGGAGCTCTCCTGGGACGAGGTGTTTGGCTGCAGTGCAGAGCAGCAGCTGCACGACCCCAGCAAGGGATTGTTTGTGCAGAGCAGCTCCAGGGACTGCTGGCTGCTCACACAGGGCCACATCCCCTGAATGCCCTGTGCAGAGGAGCTGGGGTGCCCTGGGAGACAAAGCAAAGTGCCTGCTGGAGAGGTTTTGGGGTTTTGGGAGCTGAGCCCGAGGGAGCTGAGATGGGATTCTGAAAGAGCAGGTGGATTCCTGTGAGGGTCCTGGGCAGGGCAGGGCTTCCCTAGGGAGATGGAGCAGCCTTGGTCCATCCCAGGAGGGGTCAGTAAACCTCTCTGACCCTCAGCCTGTGTCCAAACTCTCCCTGGAGAACAGAGTGGGATCAGAGTGTCCCTGGAGGCACAGCTCCAGCTCCCAGCTGGAGAATCCACGACACAAAATTTTACACCAGCACACAACACCAGCCAGTAACAGAGCTGGGAGATGGCTCAGTTCTGGAAAACCTTTAATATGAAGTGTTTCACCTATTTTACATATTCAAGACCCTTAAGATGTTCTAATACGGAGCCAAACTCTGTCAGAGCAGCCCAGTGCACAGGACACTTGGAACAAAGGGGAATTGTGTTCAGTCCAGGGCTGGAATCGAGCCTCTCATACCCCAGGGAATCGCTTCTGCTTGGGGATGAGGAAAGGCCCCTCTTGGTTAGAGGCTTACACATATAAAAATCCCAATAAAAACATCAGGTGGTGCTCGTGGGGGATGCAGAGCAGCTGACAGGAACCTGGCAGCGTCATGGCATCCCTTGGCAAGCCATTTTTAGCCCTTGGAACGCTGCTTGCTCCAGGGAAGGGGACAGCCGTCGGCTGAACCGGAGCTGGCAGCTCCAGCAGGCGCCTGGCTCCAGGCAGGGCTCCCGGCAATGGCAAACAAAGGGCTCAGTGAACAAAACTCACCTCGAGAATCCAAAAAATGCTTTAAACAGTTAATCCCACCCGAGGGAGGGGAGGGGGCCGGGTGGGACCAGCGGCACCTGACTGCATGGGACAGATAGAGGCCACAGCTCCCGAAACCGCGCTCGGGAGGAGGAGGANCACACGACGCCTTGCTGGTATGTTAGCCTGATTGACAGGGCACACTCAGCGAGGGGCGAGGGGGAAGGTAAAACACACATGGGAAGGGACCGGAAGTTTAAAACAGGACATTGCAACACACCGCAACAGAAACCCTGGAGCATTGCTGGTGCTGTTTGCTGCTAGAGGGATGCTGACCTGGCTCCTGGAGCAGGCTGGGCTCTGGGATGACCCTGTTGAGCTCATCCTTTGGTTCTTTAAGGTTCTCATCATGCTGTGCTCTGGATGCTGAGCAGAGGGTGTTGGGCAATGGCTGGCACTGGCAGGATGGGGTAGAGCTGCTGGCAGGGATGGCAGAGCCACTGAGTCACCCCTCCAGCCCTCTTCCCATGGTGGTTTAAGACCTAAAATGAATAAAGTGAGGGTGGGGGAAGGCAGGGCAAGGAAGGGCACCTGCTGGCAGGAACTGGGCTTCCTCAGGAGCAGGTGAGTCTGCTGGGCATCAGCCTCACCCCTGCTTCACCACTTTAGGGACTGAGGGACACAATTCTGCAGTTCCACAGCTGCACACCCACACAGGGGTCTCAAGGGGAAGCTTGCAGCCAGGGCAGGACACCATGACCTTAGAGATCTTTCCCAACCTTGACAGTCCTGTAATTCCATGACTTTGAAGTGGTGCAGACCCGCAGTGGGTGCTGTGTCCTCTGGCCAGCCTGAGCTGCTTCTGGCTGGGTTTGTGCAGCTGGGCACCTCTTCTTTCACAGCTAAGCCAGACCCAGTCACAGCCATGCTCAGCTCTAAGTCTGGTGCCAGCTCCCTGCACCTCAGGGCGGGTTGATCAACACCTGGGGCTTTGTAGCAGGAAAGAGATTTCCCTGCCAGGCCCTCTCCAGTCCTGTTTTTCCAGCTTTGCAGGTTTTCTGCACACAGCCCTCCCAGGCTTGCCAGGCTCTCAGCTTTCCTGGCTGGGGGAGGAGCAGCCAGGTCCTGCTCACCCACTGTGGGGGTGGGAAAGGACAGGAGTTAGGTTTGGATCTCTCCCAAAAGTGGGGTGAGCCAAAGCTGCTAAGTTCTGTTCTGTGGGAGTCAGGCCAGGGTCAGAGGAAGATGAGCAAGCTGGAGAGGTGTCCGGTGAGTCTGGGCTTTGGTGAGTCCCTGCCTTGTTCTGGCCCTGGCTGAGAGGAGAAGCTGTGGCACCCAGCCTGAGCCCAGCACTGTCACCCTGGGGAGCAGAGGGGCCCCAGGAGCGGTGTGTGAGGAGAGGGTGCTTGTGCTTGTGTTTCTCACAGCCATGACCACCTCCGGTGATTCAGGTGGTGGCCACTGCATCTGAGCTCATCACATGGCTTCTCTTGCAGACTCACAGGAGATTCACATCGATGAGAAAACCCTGAGCCCCCACCTCAGCCTGTCAGAAGACAAGAGAACCCTGACCTTCAGCCCCAAGAAAGCAAAGCTGGACTCGGGCTGCCCCGAGCGGTTTGACCACTGGCCCAACGCTTTGGCCACTGCCCCTTTCCACTCGGGGGTGTGTGCCTGGAAGGTCAGAGTGGAGCAGAGCTGTGCCTACAAGCTGGGGGTGTGCTACAGCTCCGTGCCCAGGAAGGGCTCTGCCAACGAAGGCCGCCTGGGCTTCAACGCCGCCTCCTGGGTGTTCTCGCGCTACGACAAAGAATTCCGGTTCCTGCACGCGGGGCAGCCCCAGCCCGTGGAGCTGATCAAGGCCCCCACAGAGATCGGGGTCCTGCTGGACTTTGCAGGGGGGGAGCTGCTCTTCTACGACCCCGACTCCTGCGCCATCCTCTTCTCCCACCGGCAGCCCTTCCTGGAGCCCGTGTTCCCTGTCTTTGCCGTGGCACACCAGAGTGTGTGACTGTGTGTGGGGGAAGGGAGCCCGGGCAGGGCTGGGGGCTGTGGCCAGGGCCCTTCAGACAACACCTGCCTTCACACTACACCCGTCCTCCTGTGTTCTCTGCAGCTTTCCTCTCATCCCACAGCCTACACCCTGTGCTGGGGTGAGGGGTCTGGCAATGCCTGCCTGGCCAGCTGCTCCCAGGTGAATTGTGTGGTTTCAGCCCCACCAAAGGCAGCTTTCCAGTCTACTGGTGGGCTGGAAAAAAAGAGGAGAAATAGTGAGAGATGTGTGTGGATAAGTGGCAGGGAGGAGGCCCATGGAAAGGGACATAATGTGCTCTACAACTCCTTGGCAGGAGGGTGGGGCAAGGGAGGGTCAAGCTCTGCTCCCAAGCAACAGTGAAAGGACAAGAGGAAACAACTTCAAGTTGTGCCAGGAGAGGGTTTAGGTTGGATCATGGAGAAAATTCCTTCTCTGGAAGGGTGGTCAGGCCCTGGCACAGGCTGCCCAAGGCAGTGATGGAGTCACCAACCCTCGAGGAGTTTAAAAGGTGTTGCAGATGTGACACTTGAGGACATGGTTTAATGGTGGCCTTGGCAGTGATGGGGGAACAACTGGACTCAATCCTCAAAGTCTTTTCCAGCCTAAATGATTCTATGATTCCCTGACTGGGACACAGCTGGAGACGCTTTTGGGAGGAGCTACCCCACTGCAGAGCAGGGACAGCACAGGGGTTCCCCCTGAGGGGGGGACCAGTCTGGGACAGGGCCATTGCTCAGGGGCTGTGGCCCTGTCCAGGCAGAGGAACGAGCAAAGACCAGCAGAAAGAAACCAAAACTGAGTGTCCCAAGGCAGTGGGGTTTGAGTGTAACATGGTGCAAACATGGGGCGCTGATGGCAGCAGGCAGGGAGGGAGGAGAGATGTAAGTCTGGAGCTGAGTCAGAGAAAGGGGTTTAAAATCATCTTTAAAGGGTCATCTTTATTTCATTACCTGAATCAGTAAAGTTTGTTAATTAGCAATTCATTAAGTGAAATTGCCCAGCTCCTGGCTGTTTTGCCCATAGCAGGAGAGCTGCAGGCACCTCCTGCCTGCCCACCGTTGTTGGGAAGGGGAGGATGTTGGTGAGGGGGCAAAGCTGGGGTACACTGAGGGTGCAGGACCTGGGCAGGGGTGTCCTGGGTGCTCTGTGTGGGCAAAGCTTCCCTGGGACAGGGCCACCACTTGCACTGGGGGATGTTTAGGCCTGTACCCAGGGTGAGTGAGATGGGATAAACCTCAGTATCTGCCAGAATGAACCTCTGCAGTGACCCAGTCCCAACCTGTTAGGGGAAGACACCCCAGCTGACCTGTGGTGTTGTTAGAGCCATGAAACACATCTGCTCTGCTGCTGGGGATCAGAAATGTTTTATTGCATGGACACTCCTCCTGCTCCATAGGCAGCTCAGACTTGCTGCTCTTCCCTGCCCACCTGGCAGCAAGAAATCTCATGTCAGGACAGTTCAGCACTGGCAGCAGCACCGGTCCCCTCCGAACCGCAGCTACTCCTTCTGGATGCGAGCCAGGAGGTGGCTGAGNTGGGATTGTTCCCAAGGTCCCCCAAAGTCTCCGGGATCAGTAAGGCTCACTCCAAGGCTGTGTGACACTGTTAGGAAGGCATGACTGTATCCTTCTGTGCGGCTGACAAAGCTCCAGCCTCTGCACCAACACTGATACAAATGTTTTTCACTTATTGATACATTTTTGGCAAACAAATCCATGTTCATTGGCTCTAGGTTACCTAATTCTCTTCATTACTTACCGTTCTGTCTACTCTTGGTTTTTAATTTCTCACACTTCGCGCTAATCTGGTCCACATACTTTATTACTTTTATAATCTTTTTCTCAGTCAGGGAATCTCCAGTTTTCCAGGCCTTAATCTCCTCTGCATTTTCTGCTTGCTTCAACACCCTTAAAGGGTCATAAATTTAAGATCCCAGATGTCCAATCTCCAACTCCCTTTGGATTTGTTTATTGAAGCTTGGCAGGGTTACTTTTAGCAAACTTGAGGTTTTGGTTATTTAGTGATCAAAGAAATTGTAAGAGCCTGTGAAGAAACTTAAATAGTGCTAGCTGAAAGTGAGCACTGGTTGAAATTAATTAAAACAATTAGGAAAGTTGCATCATTTCCAATGGGAAATAGCAGCTGTTTTACCCCACACTGGTGTCTGGCCTCTCCCCTTGTTGCTGTGTGAGGGCACAGGGCTGTGAGCTCCTCCATCCCTGCCCCACTGACCCCAAACCTGGCCTAAACCCTGTAATTCCACGAGACTTTATCCCTGTTGATAACCTGACCAGGTAATTAAATAAGCTCAGAGTGCAAGAAAGCAGATTAATTAGGTGCTGTGTTGGGGTGATACTTGAAATTGTGAGCAGTGATTGACAGCAGAGCTCTTTTCCATGGGGAATGGGAAATTCCTGTTATCAAGGGCAGTGTTTCTGTTGCAGGGAGAGCTGACAGAAGCTTGTGAGCCCAGGTAAAGGCAACAGTGGTGGACACAACACTGTGCTGAGGGAAGCACACACCGAGCATAACTATTCCAGTTCCACTGGATTTATAAACTCTATCCCTGCTGTACAAATGGTGTGTAAATTTTGGTTTTAGCTCCTTTCCATGTGCTCTGTTGTTCCACACCTGTTTGGTGTGGCAGTGCTGGCACTGGGGAGGGACATTCACAGGGGGCACACTGAGCTGCTGTGACAGTGGCACACTGAAGCTGTGACCATGGCACACTGAGCTGCTGTGACAGTGACTGTCACCCTGTTCTTCTAAAGTTCTTCTAAGCCTTCTGATGTTTACATTTTGTAGTGGAGTTTTTCACTCACTTTTCATGTAAATAATGATTGTTTTGCCTTCCTTTCTGGTGGAGGGGAGAATTGCACTGTTGGTTTGACCAGTATGGTTGGAGAGGTGGCAATCTCATCCTCCAATCCATGGTCACTTTTGGAATTCTATAAATATCGAGGTCCAGAAATAAATGCACCTTTTTTGCCTTGGACATCTCAGCATGTGAGTGTTCATTTTGTGTCCTATTGTGACAGTGACTGTGGCACTTTGAGCTGCTGTGACAGTGCCCATGGCAGACTTGGATCCTGGACAGGGATATTGTATTTGTTGGGAATGCCCCAATGAAGACAGGAATGATGCATCTGACTCCATGTTCTCAGAAGGCTTATTTATTACTTTATAATACTATATTATATTAAAGGATATATTTAATATTTTAATATTTAATATTTAATACAATATATTAATATACTTATATATAAATTATATAATCTATAATACTATATTCTATTAAAGAATATACTATATTCTGTTAAAGAATACTATACCAAAGAATACAGAAAGGATTCTTACAGAATGCTAAGAAGATAATAATGAAAACTCCTGACTCTTTTCAGAGTCCCAGCACAGCTCGGCCCTAGATTGGCCAAAGAGTGAAAACAACTCCCAGCTGAATGCAATGGAACAATCACCTGTGGGTGAACAATCTCCAAACACATTCCACATGAGCACAACACAGGAGAAGCAAATGAGATCAGAATTGTTTTCCTTTTCTCTGAGGCTCCTCAGCTTTCCAGGAGAAAAACCCTGGATGAAGGGATTTTTCCAGAGACTGTGAACGCCACACAGGGGGGTGGCCCAGAGCTGTTGGAGCCCTTGGGAGCCACTGCTGCTCATTTTGGTTTCTGTTATTTAGAGCATGAGGTGTTTTTGTCCATGAACTGAGAACAAAGTGAGGTGGTGGTGTGGGATGGAGCAGAGCCAGGAATGGGGGCTGCTCAAATCCAGGGATTCAGCCCAAAGCTGCCCCACACACCAGCAAAGCCTGGGCTGGGACCATCCAGCTCTGTGTGTCCTCTGGACACAGCAGGCTCTCCTCCCTGGCCCCTGGTGTGAGTTTCTATTTGTTTTTAATGACAATGTCTGCAGGTTGGTACATTGAGTCCCAGGAAGGGACATTGAAGCCCATTCCATGGCAGGGACACCTCCCACTGTCCCAGGCTGCTCCCAGTCCTGTCCAGCCTGGCCTGGGACATTTCCAGGGATCCAGGGGCAGCCATCCATCCTGGCCTTATATCCTGTAGGTCCAGAGCCTTTATATTAAATCAGCTTTCCAGTCTTGTTTCACTGCCATGTGTAAAATACAGAAGATGTGGAGCAGGCAATGCTCAGTTTACTGCTGTGAGTCACATTTTACACTGGAACAAAAATGTTGTTGCATGTAGCACAGGTATAAATACAGTGACAGAGGAGCAGCAGCTCAGCTCAGCCTGAGAGGGAAAGCAAAACCACGGGACAATCAATATTGTCCTTCTGTACCTCAGGGAAAGGCTATAACAGATTTAGATTTAAATGCTTTGAGTTAGATATTAAGAAAACACCCTGGCAGGGTGGGCAGGCCCTGGCACAGGGTGCCCAGAGCAGCTGTGGCTGCCCCTGGATCCCTGGCAGTGCCCAAGGCCAGGCTGGGCAGGGCTGGGAGCAGCCTGGGACAGTGGGAGGTGTCCCTGCCATGGCAGGGGTGGGATGAGAGGATCTTTAAGGTCCCTTCCATGTTCTGTGATTCTGTTCAATGCCTCTGCACTGATGTCAGGAGATGAACTCTGTGAGTTTTAAGCCTGCAGTGAGGGTGGGCACTCCTTCAGCCTGCTTGTTTTTCACAAAATTGCCCCAAAATGTGACATTTATGGTTTAGCTGCAGGCACAGAACTGACCCAGCAGTGTTTGTAACTCCTCAGAACCCACTGTTAGCACAGAGGGGCTCGAATCTCACTTGACTTCTGTGAAAATGACACTTCAGTATCATCTTGGCCAAAGAAAAAATATTACTACAAAAATACGGATTATTCCAATGTAGAACAGTCATTGTGGAGCAGCTGAATTGTTTCCAGCACTCCTGAAGCCCTGTTTGGATGGGTGCCATCCAAGCCCTGTAAATAAGAGGCTGTTGATGCAGTAACAGATAACTCTTC